CCGTGACTAGCTGAGTTCAAACAAATCTGGTGTAAAATAGTTAGTCACGGCAAGCAACGGGAGATGGTCGCATAATACTATCAACAAACTGAAGCTAAAAATACGTACCAGTCGATTCCAGTTCAGTGGTCTATAGGTTCATGCGCAAGATCAGAGGTTCGGGATTCGATCCCCGGTTGTATCGTGTATACATATTGCTGAGGAGTCTTATGCCAGGGCGAAACGGCTGTCTAATGATTACTGGTCCTCAAAAGTTGCCTGGAAAAGATCATATTGTGATATAAACTATGAAAATTCTACAATCTTCCCAAACCCCTCTTTCCATGCAGATCAAATTTGTTTTGTCCAGTAATATTACCAATTACTGAATTAAAACTCCCCCGAAGTTGCTAACAGAAAAAATAATCAAGCCTCACATAGCTTCAATGAAGCAGTAACAAATATAAACAAAGACTTACAAAGAAAAAGGTCATTGGTTTAGTGGTAACATTCATTATTATAACCAATTGTACCAGTTGACGTTTTACTAACATCTGCTTATTCGTACTTTTGTTTTACATATTGACCTTTTTACTTTCTGCACATATACTGACATTACACTAAGGTCACACACTTCTCCTCCGGTTGCCATCTTGTCTTTGCTGCTCTACACCTTCGCTCAGTTCTCTGATACGTTTCGGTATTCTTCCATTACCACGAAATCGCCAGCAAATACACCTATTTTTTTCGATAAATCGGTCTCCTTCCTTCCGATTAAAGATTTGGGACTGAGTTATAAACGTGTCCATAGTCCTTTGATTGTAACACCTACATTTGTGAACTCGTTTCCATGAAGATAATAAATTTTCGGTGCGTTGTTTATCAATTCCCATTTTTTGTTGCTTTATATTAATTTATATCTGTTGGTATAGATCTGTTGATATATTCCGAAACGGAGAATAAATTTATGGGTTTCAAAGCCCAAACAGATACGTACAGAATTACTGGTATATTTTTTCGAATGAAAATGTATTTCATGCCTCATTTGATAAGTTCCTGCAGTTAACTGACCTCTCGAGGTGATTCAATCGGTGGCTAGTCGTGTGGTACATCACATCGTCACTAGCGGACCCCCACTCTCGGTGAAACCTCACCGGCTAGCACCGGAAAGATTAGCTTTCTCTGAGCGTCATTTCGGCAGTTTATTTGCTAGAGGTATTAATCGTCTTTCTTATAGTCCTTGAGCTCCCCCTCTCCACATAGTGCGCAAGACAATGTGGCGATTACAGAGCACTGAACTTAGCTACCCGTTTAGATGGTTATCCTACCCACCACATACAAGACATCACGTCATCACTCAAGTTCACGACCACCTTTTCTAAGGTGGATCCGCTACAAGCATATCATCAGATCGCAGTCGCTCTTGAAGATATCGAGTAAAATGCTATCGGTCTTTTTGAGTTCTTACGAATTCCATTTGGATAACTGAATGCTGTTCGAACTTTCCAAGGGTTTATCGATAACATAGGATGAGACTTAGATTTTGCTCCACCTGTATACTGATGACCTGACAACCACATCATCAAACGTAAATGAGCATAATCGACACTTAACACTGTTATTCCAACGTCTTTCTGATAACATAATATTAGTTAACCTTGATAAGTGCAAACTTAGAAAATCGGGACTCAGATTCCTAGTCCACTGAATAATGCAAGCAGGTATCCTACATTGTGAGGACAAAGTACGTGAAGTAATGAAGTATACAACACCGTCCACACTGAAAGTATTCCTTGATTCGGTAAATTTCTACCTCCGTTTCATTCCACAAGCAACAGAACGCTCACTAACGCTAACCGTTTTACTTCGCGATAATCTGCGTTTAACTAGAGCTAAATGATTCCGCAAGTACTGAATTTACAGAGATTAAAACGTCTTTGGCACAAGTTACACTCGTCGTTCATCCTAACCCACCAAACACGCTCATCGTAGCGGCTGTTGCATTGGATTTGTTATAGGAGTTGTAACGCGACATGTCATCTCTGGAAGTTGGCAGCTTCACGAAATTTCCTTACGACGACTCACTTCCATGGAGATGAGGCAGTACTTTCGTTCGAGAACTCCTAGCAACCTACTGCTACATCAAATGTTTTCGGCACGCAGTAAAAGGTCACTTTTTCACCCTATCCAACGACCGTAAATCATTATAGTATTCTCTGCGTACCAAGTATGATCTATACTTACAACGAGAATACAGACGTTTAGGCTACATCTCCAAAGTCAAGACAGACCTTCATCATATTAAAGGCGAATCGAACTATGTTTCTGACGCTCTGTCAATTATCCACATTATGCGGTTACTTCAATTGTGCTCAATGCGATGATAAATTCGTATTTTCAGATTTTAACCTTTATTAATTTATTTTTATCAGATTATGTCAGAATGTATGCCTTAGGTTTTGGAGGTTCAGACTAATACTTTCTCCATATTTTAACTCATGCCATTCTAGCCTGATAGTATGGAAACTTAGTTCCGTTATGCAGAGACCGGAGGCTAATGCAAGTTTATGGATAATTATAACTGTATATATATCGAAAACAGGAAACAAAATAACATATACTGTACTATGTATCATTCCCTTATCTTTCGAATAACGAGAAGCATGTCACACTCATATGATTTTAATATGCTGGAGAAAATTTGTGGCTGAGGTGGCTCATTGTGGTGGAGATCTATGAGCTGCATGTTTTAGTTGTGGAGTTTTCGTTGTTCTTCTGAACAACATCATCAACACAAGCTTCAGATGGAATTGAAGTATTCGAATTTCTCCACATTTGTCCTGTAGCTGAAGAGACCGTCCACTTTGTCCTATATCGTGTTTTTACAACCTGAGCAATTTATTTCGTAGATGATATTTGGTTTTTCTTCATTTGTCATTTTGTCCTTCGGTCTACATAGGATTGATTGAAATGGTTCTATTGGTTTGTGTTCCACACCTATTCCAGATGGTCTCACTAGTCATACTGTATGCTTCGATATGTCTTTTATCTATAGTAGGATGATCCGTTTATTGGTTAATGTACTTGTACACTTGTTAGTGGCAACTGCAGTCGATAGACACATAATTTTGTGTCTGAGGTTCGCTCTTTGGTCGACACTAGCCCTGTGGCAAACGTTCTTTCTGCAAATTATGAATGACATTCGCGGGATGCAGTCTTCAGTCAGCGAACAGCAAACCGTCTGCTTATTAGAGTGAAAGGAAAACTTACTTTAACGTGGGTATACAAAAAATGAATCACTGGATTTTCACTATGGCAGATATCTGACTAGCATAAACCTCCTACAATACCATGAAGCACTCGTCGGTAAGAGAAAACAAAGGTTATCCGTTGGTGATATCACGCTGTCGAAGTATGGAGCCTTATTTCATGAGTAAACGTCAAACCATCGATTCATTCTCTTAAGTAGTACTCGAAAAGCACCCAAAACTGTCAAAGGATCAACCGAAATTATTGTGTAACCATCACTATTACACATCACATCAGGACTAAAATACCACCTGTCTTCTTGAGTGCAAGCTGACTGGCTACTGAAAAACTATTACGAATCTGGTTCAGTGATAAATTTAGGCATTATTAGACCATCTAACCGCCCATGGGTATCACTGTTTTATATGGTAATTAAAGATAACAGCCATTATTCTCTGCCAACTTGCCTGTTGGTTTTGATGCGCGGGTTTCCATATGTCGTAACTCGTTACGCCTACCACTCAGAACTGCATACGAAGGGCATTAAAGAGTTTTTCCAAAAAGGTACAAAAAAATACATGTAAATTTATCTCATATATCCTTATGTTTTCGCCCGAGCACAAATTGACTGAATCCCGCCTTCAGCCCCTCTTGGGCTTCCAGGCCTGAATAAATGAGGGTTGAGCAAAGAGTTAGCAACCCTGTTCCCTAGGAAACTAACTCGCTGAAATGATTTAAGCCATTTTAATTCTGCCCTGGGAATTGAAGGTCTTCATTCAGAAGAGTTGTGACGTCTCACGATGAAAGCCGAGTTACTTCGGAAGTCACGAGGCCGATACCCCATCTGGCAAGCGCAGCAAACGGAGTTATAGAACTATGTAGAAGACCAGAAAACTGTTCTGAATTGCTTCAGAGATGAAACTGAAAATATCTTGAAGAGAAAGTATCTGTCAGCAAACACCGGGGATAGAATTTTCAATGCAAATGTCAAAACTTATAGTCTTCGGGGCGGAAACATGAAGAACTACGAAAGCAATCATACAGAAGATACAGGTATTTAATCACAGTTGTCTATGCGAAATACTTCGAATCCGTTGTCCAGAAACTATCACGGACACATTGCGCAAAGCACCCAAACGCGTCACAAGACAAGCCCGCGCCTGGAATCCTGAAGGTCGAAGGAAATGAGAAAGACCAAGGAACATCATATGTGTAGAAATGAAGACAAACGTTAGTGGAATGAGCAAAAATTGAACAGAACTCGAACAAGAAACCCGGGGCAGTGTATGTCGGAAAATACTGTTCAGCGCCCTACGCTTCATTCGAAATAACAGGCGTATGTTGTTACGGGAGAAATGAAGACATTTGACTGATTAAAACCTTTATATAAATATCATTAATTTCACTGTGTTTTTGGGTATATTTGTTTTACTTAACTTATGGACTTGTTTGATTTATTATTTTCGGCCATTTTGATTTCTGTTTGTCTTGGTTTGGTCATTTGGAACCTATAAAATTGAAGGTATTTTTAGTTAACATAATTATTGTTGTTAGAACGACATTTTGGTCGACTATTTATGAATTGCGAATAAACTTTGGTACCTAACTTTGGAGTTTGGTTCTGTTGTTAATTTGGGTTCGTGAATTGCAAATAGATTGACGTACTGTACTTCAATAACGGGAAGGAGTAAAACTTGGAAGTAACATATGTAAATAAGTTAGTAAAAATTAGCTGAGTCAAGGTTTTTTCCATGTGTTGTAAAGTAAGTAAAATGGGCCTGCATAATCGTGACCGTATCCACATTGATTCTACTAACTATTCAATCTAGAAAACAAAAACTCGGAAACGGCTTCTGGTGAATCACTCACCAATATTTATGCTGTGACACAGAAAATAAGAAAAGTCAACTGAACCAGATGAAGATAGCTGAAATTTGATCACACTGTTAAGCGCCATCTTCCATGAATATCAATGCTAAAATTTTATGTCGTCTTACTGCATAGGCACGATATCACCAGGGTTTGGTTACACATTCTAATGTTACTACTGCATATTGGCATCATATACGAATTTCTTTGTGAGTAACTCGACAAGCTTCTCCCCAAAATACAACATAACTCATCCAGTTCTAATCCAGAATCTTTTTATAATTTGGGATACAGCATTATTATTATTATTATTAAAACCTCGGATGAGACACTTCGTATTCAGATGAAGTCAGGATAGACTGGTAGCTAACTTGGTAAATGACATCAAAATATGGCACATACTAGTAGCCCTTTTGATTCCTATCCTCCGTCAGCTAAATATTGAAACTCTAGTATCCAGCTTACAAAAAATCGTTGGTAGATAAAACTGAAAGATATTGCTAGTATAGATCTCTAAACTGACAGAAACGAATTCGTTAGATGTCTTGAATGTTGGTGTTCGGAAACAAACTCTAGTGTATTATTGCATATCGGACATCAGATTATACACGCCGGAACTTAGTTGATTGGACACCGTAATCATAAGCTCTGACGCGGAAGTATTAGGAATGGTATGTAAGCTTAATTAAAACAATCACCAACTGCTATCCAATAGTTGTTCGAGAGTTACATATGTGTTATGATCACCTTATTTAATCCCCAAATATTTGCTTCTACTTCAAAACCTGAACTATGAAAAGCTAAGTGATGAAAGAATTTTTGTCTCATTAAACTAGAAGGCGAGTTGACAACGGGGACTCATTATTCGATTCGTAATCTTAACCGCTTCTTTTTGATTTATTCATCTCCGAGTTACCCGAAAACACAACCAAGAACTATGATCGAATCAACTTGAGATGGGACTGGGATATCTAAGTGACCACCATAAAAGAACACGTTTGAAAAACCCAATCGGTAAAACAGTCTTCATTGATTAGCATAGTGTAAGGACCATTGGGGATAACCCAATTTAATGCCTTTATTTCTGAAAACCGAAGACAGTGGAAGTTAAGGGTACTTAGTAAAAGTAATATAATACGAAAAATGGCATAAAATATTAGCAAATATTTTAATTTAATGGGCTGAATTGTAAACTCATTTCAAAATAATCCTTGGAAATACCTAGAAGAAGTTTGTTTACATGACATTTATCGGTTTGCGTCTAGGTGGAGGGTGTCTTGTGTACTAAAGAAACATTTAGAATAGTGTGAGCTGGTAGAAATAGCAAAGAGAAAAACAAGAGGCGAGGTGAGCAGACAACTCAGCAAGCACACTGATTGCACCTGCATTTAATAAGAGTAGTCATGAGCGAAAATTAGCAATCACGTAAGCTCCAGATTCATAGAGTCTGAAAAGTGATATTAGGAGTGGATACAGTGAAGATTTGTAATTTTCTTTTGCTTCCTCTGCCACGACACACCATAACTACTTCAGTTAATATATTCAGTAGGAAGTTCGACCAACAAAAAATTTTCCTTGCCCCTCCCCCTTGCAAACTGAAATGGATTGTTTTAACAAGCTTAAAAGTCACCTTGATATTGTTTGACCTTGTTGCGCTATCTGTGTTCGTCCCATAGGTTTGTAAGAATGGCGAATGTTGGACAAAGTTGTGGTAGTAGTGATGTGGTCGATTGTGTTGTTATTAATAAGACAGTACAACATATACTTCCAGAAATTATTGACGCAATCAAGGATGAGATCAGGACGCTTAATCAATACCTGGTTAGTTTGACTTGCGAATTTCAATAAATTCCTAATGTCAGTACTGGAACCTGCTAGTTATGTTCATTTTCCGACCCTATCTCACAAAATTGCATGAGTTTTTTTCCTGCTCGCTCTTTCATTACAAACATTGGAGGTTAAAAAGAGAATTAACTGTGCATCGCATTTGCCTAGTATTTTCTCTTTCTATTTTGGGCTGTTCTGATTTGCGACTGTTGCATTATTCGGTCCTTCATCGTTTTAGTGTTTTATTCGACTTAAATAGATATGTGAACCTAGGTTTTGTTTGTAATCTGCTAGTGTAATTTTGGTCTACTCGGTTCAAGTTTAGTGTTTGTACGTGAATGTCGTGTTCTTTTCATACTTTTTCTAGTAATAATTATCTGCTAAGTACGATTTATTGGTTAAATCTCGGTTCATAGGCCGTAGAGTCAATCTCCGTTAACCTAGTTTTGGTTTAGGAAGCCGAGCGATAATAACCTTTCTAAGAATTTTGGTTTTAAGCTGTCTACCTGGGCACTGTAAATGCTGCTTTATTACTACAAGATCAGTCTAGGATTCGTTTTAGCTGATAAATCACTACCTTTTATGCATATAGGAAGGTCTGTATCTTCGTTACTGAAGATGTGTAAAATGTTCTAGTTGGTTTTCAAATATTCTGTTTGATCACAAATTCTCACCCAACTTTTCCACTTCAAACACTAAAAAAAGTCTGTAGTTTAAGCATTTATAAACGGCATAAAACTGGGCTAATAAATTGATCGCTTTAAAATCAAGGGTGCTAATTATGTATGCGCTTGCTTTAAATAAGTTCAGCAGTGTTTCATATTGCTTGACATAAACTTAGAGAATCCAGGCTGATTTGCTGATTTAATGATCATGTCTTACCGATGTCGTGCGCAACTCTATTAACACACTTGTGTTTATTCAATATACTCTTAAGTTCCAGAAGTCACAGTTTGGTTGTTTTGTCATAAGATATTTTAATCACTAGGCACTATTACTACAGCAGAGCGCTTATCTTTTCGAAAAAGAGTGAAAGCTCTCTGCAAAACTAAATTAAGCAGGACTCAGTTTGAGCGTAGTCTAAGATAAAAAAATAGCAACGGTCTGTGTCTTTACATTTCTGAGTTCTTACTGTTTCGCTTAGTTGGATATCATACAAGCCACCGCCTCCTGGAATCCAGTCTAGCAGACGTGACCCTGTTTCTTAACATAATGCTATACCTACATCCATGAGGCCACGGATAGTAGATACACGAAAAGGGAGATGCGTCGGTTCTTTGTTTTTAGATAAGTTGAGGTCAAATGAATGACTGTACTTAGACGTTTTTGAGACGTAGTGTACATTCGTTTCACAAGGTTCTAAAGTCCTAGCCAAGGAAGCTTGTTGTTCTATCTGACACAAAGTTATGGCAATAAAAGCTCCGACATGTAGTGTAGAACTGGATTTTAGGGGACCATGAATAACATTTCATGAACTTGAATCATTAGCATTAGCAATGCGAGGTAATAAGTATTATACACTAGAAAGGTTAGTCGTGGGGATAGGAGTTATGGAGAGGTGGGGCAGTGGTTCAATCATGATCAACTTGGTCTCGAGTTCTGTTAGAGATATGAAGGCGGTTGTTACTTCCAGGCTGCTCATATTGTGAATGGCTATTTCTTCTTGGGGGAGTGTGACCACAGAGCATACAGGGAAACTGCTTCAGGCCAGTCATTCACGGCCTTTTAATAGGAAGTTTTATCGTGTTAGCTCGGATCTTCAAAAGGACTGACCCCACAGCGAAAAAGATCCATGAAGTACAGTAAGGTGAAATTTTAGGGTCGACCTTTTCCAACTCGTTTCTCCTGTTATGAGATGGTAGTAAGGCTGCAGATGCTGGTTGTCTGAGGGAAACACCTTACTGCTATCACACCTCTGTACAGTCAGCATTAAGGCTTCACCATCAGACCTTAAGTTATTTCGTTTAGTCTTACTTACCGTTCTCCAGTCAAACTGCCTTGCATGGTAGGACCTATGGAAGCATGTATTGTAGCCGACATAGGTCGGTTGGGTCATCACGATAGGCCAGCCTGACCACCACGTCAAGGTAGAAGCTACGGTCGGGACAATAATTTACTCTGCACTATATAGTACTATAACTTGTATACACATTATCATAAGATTCCCTTCTATTCATTACAACCTCTTTACATATCTTTTGCTTCCACTTTTTACTATCTTATTTGATAGTGGATAATAGTCATTTAAGCTTATTAAAACTACTGTCCCAATATAAGAGATAATTAGTATTCTTAACATGGATGTAGAATGGTCACTGGTATCATCTCAGAGTCAGTCAGTCAGTTGCAACGTAGAACTTCGTACGTATGTACATAAGTTCATGTTGCCATACCACATTATTAGCATAGAGACGCAAAAGTCAAATCAAATCCCATAGTGATAAAGATGGTAGAGGTATTAATGTTATAATAAAGAAGACTAGGGTTTAAGATATTATTCAAAAAAATATAATTCAGTGAGATAAGGTTAGAAAGACAAAGGTAGAGGTGTTGACGAATCCAGAAGATTAGGATTTGAGAGAGCTCAAAGAGTGGATGCACCTGCGCCATTGCAAACGATTTTGAGCCATGTCGTTCAAGGTCTCTAACCATTGATGACTTTCGTCTCGCGGACCCCAACCAGGTAGTCTACATCTACCAACATGACTCAGTCCACTTGTCAGTGACTTCATGGATTTCTGCCATGTTTTGGTCTGGCCGCCCCTAGCTTTCTTCCAACCTACTCCTACACCACAAAACAGAGCTCGTCAAGGCAGTCGGTGGTTAGGCATACGTAACACATGTCCCAACCACCTCAACTGATGAAGTTTCACCACTTCATCGATTGATCTGCCATCCTTACCTAGTACTCGTTTCCTAACGACAGCATTGCTTACTCGGCTGTCCCACGATATACGAGCAATGCTTCTTAAACATCTATGATCGAATACTAGTAACCTACGAACATCTTCTACTCTTAACGGCCATGTTTCACAGCCATATAAGAGAACGGAACGAACTGCTGCGCAGTACACCCGCCCTTTGGTTAGCGAACGGATATCACGCCTACGCCATAAGTGACGCAGGTTGGCAAAAGCCAATCGAGCTTTTTGTATCCGAGCTGAGATTTCGTCAGTCACCAGACCGTCAGCACTGATGAGACTCCCCAGATAAGTGAAGTGATCTACACGCTCGACTACTTCACTCCCTATCACCAGTTCAGGTGCCGAAGCAACCCAGTCTTGAAGCAACATTTTGCATTTCGAGGGGGAAAACCGCATCCCGAACATGCTCGCATTGTTGCTTATGGTAGTCAGAAGACTCTGCATTTTGTCAGCGTCTTCACCGAATAGAACTATGTCATCGGCATATTCTAGATCAGTAAGCGACTTTCCTGGTAGAAGGTCAACCCCTGAAAAATCTGACGAGCTTAATGTTAACTCTAAGAGGATGTCTACGACAAAGTTGAACAAGAATGGAGAGAGTGGACAGCCCTGACGGACACCACTTGATGTAGAGAATTCAGATGACAGTTCGCCATAAGCTCTCACTCGACCAGTGGTGTTCGAGTAGAGAGCTTGTATAAGGTTAATGTACTTCTTTGGTACACCTTTCAACGACAGACACTGCCACAGAACCTCACGATCCACTGAGTCGAATGCCGCCTTAAGGTCCAGGAACACGACTATTGTAGGACATCTAAATGTGTGTCTGTGTTCCAGGACCTGTCGTAGTGCGAAGATGTGGTCTATACAACCACGTCCAGGTCGAAAACCAGCCTGGTTTTCTCGAGTCTGCTCTTCGCGAGCTCTAGTTAGACGTCTAAGTATAATCGAGGCTAACAATTTAGAAACTATATTAGTTAAACTTATTCCCCTGTGATTGTCACAAGAGGACTTCTGCCCTTTCTTGTAGATTGGGACAATTAGCGACTGAGACCAGTCAGATGGGATTACGTCCAGTTCCCAGATTCTACCTAGGATCTCGGTCAGTCTAACCGTTAAAACTGGACCACCATCCTTAAACATCTCAGGGGTAAGCCTATCGGGACCTGCCGCTCTACCTCTCCTTAGATTTCCTATAGCTTTCTCAACTTCATGTAAACTGGGAGGACTTAAATCGATTTGCCATTCAGGATGACTGGAGATCGTGGGCAACCGAAGAGTGGCTGAAGGCCAGTTGAACTGATCCCTAAAGTGTTCTGCCCATCGGTCCAGCCTCCTAGATTGAGAATGGATAATAAGACCATCCTTTTCCGAGATAGTCTCACTTACATTCGGATTCCTAATACCGGTTTCTTTGATAAGGCGGAAAAGTTGTCTAGTG